GAATTGCAATTGTACTTAACAGGGACAATGCAGGTAATTTTCAGAAAGTAAGGTGTAACTCAATCAGCAGAGCATCAACAATGAGCCAAAATCCAATCAAGAGCACAAAGTACTGAGTTCTACCCCAAATACCAGCCCCTCCACCCCAGAAATAGTCATAAGGCAATTTGCAGCTGTTAGTATTAACAAATAACATTTTAATCACAAAATAGGTCACAATGGAATTCAGGTATGACTTGGCAATATAGTGCTTACCTAATACGTGTGAGGCCCTGGGTTGGCCCCCAGTTCACAAATCACTTACCTTGAAAGGAATGGATGGCCACTTAACCCCAAACAAACCCCAGTTGAGTTCTTACCATGTAATAGCCAGTGTGGTAGCCACTCATGTACCATGAGATTAACATACTTCCCAGAGCATCAGAGTCATCGAGAGAATCTGGACATATGGGAGGTGGGGGGGGAATTATCTGGAAAATGCAAAGAGATGTACCTTAAATGAAATAAACAAAAAATGCCACATCTGGAGATTGATTTTTACATAGTATTCCGGATATTAATTAATAACAGCTTAAGACCTGGGTTCTATGACCATGAGAGCAAAACAAATTTAAAACAAATCGGAAGAAAGCCCACCAATGACAAAAGACCAACAAAACTAATTAAATATAATTGGGATCAAAAGAGATGACTTACAATAGTAAACATTTTGATTGGATTGGCATAATTTGTGTCCCATTTAAAGCTATCAGTACAAGATCAAGCATAAATTGTGTGTGTGTGTAAATGCACCAAGGTGTGTGCGTGTGCGTGTGCGTGTGTGTGCGCGTGCGCCAGAGCTTGAACTCTGGGCCTGGGCGCTGTCCCTGAGCTCTTCAGCTCCATGCAAGCACTCTACCCACTTGAGCCACAGTAACACTGCCAGTTCTGGTGGCTAACTGAAGGTAAGAGTCTCACGGACTTTCCTGCCTGCCTGGCTGGCTTTGAACAGGGATTCTCAGATCTCGGCCTCCTGAGTGGCTAGGATTACAGGCATGAACCACCAGCACCCAGCATACTTTTGTTTTTTTGGAAAACATACAAATACACCACCTATACAGACTGCCAAGGGCCAGTGTACCTAAAGGTCTCAGATACAACATCTGCCCTACCCTCTCCCCAAACACTAAATTTGCCAAAACGATCCTTATACTATTGTTAATACTACCTAAATATATCTATGTACCTAAAATATCTACCATGAGAAACCTAGTTTAAGCTGGGTGCTTGTGGCTCCCGCTTATAATTCTAGCTACTCAGAAGGCTAAGATTTGAGGATCATGGTTCAAAGCCAGTCCTAGCAAAAAAGTCCTTATGAGACTCTTATCTCCAATGAACTCAAAAAAGGTGGAAGTGGTGCTGTTGTTCAGGTGGTAGAGTGCTAGCCTTGAGTATGAGTACAAAGAGGCTCAAGAGAGTGCCCAGGCCATGAGTTCAAGCCCCAGGACCAGCAAAAGAAACAAAAGAAACCCAGTTTACATGATCAAATCTAACATCCAAGTATCCCAGGAGGGTAAAAGATTCATCCCTTACATACAGTACAGTTAATTTGCTTTCTTCTTTTTTGTTCTTGTTGGTTGTGGGGCTTGAACCCTGTCCCTCAGCACTTCAGCTCAAAGCTAGTGCTCTACCACTTGAGCCACAGCGCCACTTCCAACTTTTTCTGTTTATGTGGTGCTGAAGAATTGAACCCAGGGCCTCATGCATGCAAGGCAAGCACTCTATCACTGAGCCACCTTCCCAGACCTTAATATGCTCTCTGACAGAGACCACCTCCCCACAAAACATGATACTAACATCTGTCAGGAAAGCAGCAGCTAGTATATTACTCCAAGGTGGGCTATAAGAGCCCCGTACCTCAATAAATGTATATTCAAAACAAAAAAAGTTCAGTTTTAACTTTGACATATTAGTCTAGCCTTGAGGATGTTGTCTAAGATGACACTGCCAAATCCCTTGCATCCTAATTCATAAACCAAATATGACAGCAAAATTTAACTTTTTGAAAAACTCACTGGTGGTCCAGAAGGAAATGGAGGCATCCAGCATGACAGGAAGTGGGGTGGTGGAGGTGGTGGTGGTGGACCATTGAATTTTAGACCTGGCTGCAAAGAATATTTCGAAGGAAAATTTACTTACTAGCTTCAATGAAAGATAGGAAAAGGATTCAAAACCAAGAGTTAGAATAATTACTCAGGGTAGGTATTATACGTAACAAAAAAATTAGCCGAGCGCCAGTGGCTAACGCCTGTAATCCTAGCTACTCAGGAGGCTGAGATCTGAGGATTGTGGTTCAAAGCCAGCCCCGGCAGAAAGTAGGAAAGTCCGTGAGACGTAATCTCCAATTAACCACTAGAAAACCAGAAATGGTGCTGTGGCTCAAATGGTACAGCACTCTCGCCTGGAGCTAAAGAGCTCAAGGACAGCCCCAGGCCCAGAGTTCAAGCTGAGAGAGAGAGAGAGAGAGAGGGAGAGGGAAGGGAAGGGAGAGAAAGAGAAAGGGGGGAGAGAGGGAGAGAGGGGGGAGGGAGAGAGGGAGGGAGGAAGGGAGGGAGGAAGAGAGGGAGGAGGGGGAGGGGGGGCTGGGAAGGTGGCTCAGTGGTAGAGCGCTTGCCTTGAATGCATGAGGCCCTGGGTTCGATTCCTCAGCACCACATAAGCAAAAAAGAAAAAAGCAGGAAGTAGCGCTGTGGCTCAAGTGGTAGAGCGCTAGCCTTGAGCTGAAGAACTGAGGGACAGTGCCCAGGCCCAGAGTTCAGGCCCCACGACCAGACCCCCCCCCAAAAAAAGAGATAGAGACAGAGAGAAGGAGAGAGGGACACACACACACACACTAAATGGGGGACTGGGAATGTGGCTCAGTGGTAGAGTGCTTACCTAGCATGTATGAAGCCCCGAGTCTGATTCCTTAGTACCCATAAACAGAAAAAGCCAGCAGTGATGCTGTGGCTCAAGTGGTAGGGTGCTAGCCTTGAGCAAAAGAAGCTCAGGGACAGTGCCCAGGCCCTGAGTTCAAGCCCCAGGACTGGCAAAATAAATTAATAAATTAATTAATTTAATTAAATGGAACATCGTGTTACAAAACTTCAAGTCCAAAAGATTAGTCAAAAGACAACCTCCAGATTTTTTTTTTTCTTTTTGTGAGTCATAACACTTCAACTTGGGGCCTGGGCACTGTCCCTGAAATTTTCTGAAGGCTAGCATTCTACCACTTTGAGCCACTGTTTCATTTCCAGTGTTCTGGTGGTTAACTGGAGATAAAGTCTCATGGACTGCCCTGCTCCAGCTGGTTTCGAACCATGACCCTTAGATCTTAACTACCTGAGTAGCTAGGATTACAGGTGTGAGCCACCAGCACTTTTCAGGCACAACATTATCCTTTCCTTTCAAATAATTCACATGTTGATTTATAGTATCTACACAAGGTTCATGGGAAAGCTACAAATCACTTTACGGAAGGGTGAAATATGGCAGGATTTATTATTTCTTAGCAACCTTTTCCAAACCAAGAAGTTTACCTTTCCTGGTCCCAATCCTGATCCTGGCATTGGGGGTGGTGGAGGGGGAAAAGAGTTCCATGGAGCAGCTTTTGACTTATTGTTATTTAGTTTACTTCCAGGAGACCTGGAGCTTTCACTTTCATCTGTTGAAACTTGACTGTCATGTTCATTCTTTAAAAAGAAAAAAAATATAAATTTTTGTTATAAAGGTATCATGGGCTAGGACATTACTCAGCAGCACAGCACCTGCCTAGCTCAGTGAGATCCCAAATTCAAACTCTTAGGATTTTAATAATATAAAAGTGTCATTAAGAAAATTTAACGTTAGGTTTACAGCTCAGTGGTGCACTTGCCTAACATTTGTAAGGCCCAGGGTTTGGTACCTAGCATTGAACAGAAGGGGACTAGGAGGGAGGGAGGAAAGGAGAGTACATACTAGAGTGCAAAAAGGAAATTCATTTAGCTACCAAACTACATCTTGTTCTACTTTCTCATCTAATCTTTGCTTCCAGAAATTTTGAAGCGTTTTCTATTCTTACCTCCTGAGCATCCTGTTCTGTATTATTTGCTACTTCAGAGGTTGGGGAAAGTAAATCAGATAGGCTTTGTTCCTCTCTATTTCCATATCCAGTGTATACCACCACACAGGTTCCTCTCTTTAAATCAACTGAAGCAATGGTAGCTGGGTAAATGCAGCCATCTTCTGACCAAATAGCAGAACATTTGTCACCAACCTTCCACTGCAAAAGAAATCAAAGATACATACATAAACACATCATTTCTGGGGCTGGGACGGTGGCTTCGTGGCAGAGTGCTTGCTTAGCATTCATGAAACCCTGGGTGCTGTAGCTCAAGTGGTAGAGCACTAGCCTTAAGCGCAGAGAGGCTCAAGGACAGTGCCAAGGTCCTAAGTTCACTCACACTCCAGCACCAGCAAAAAACAAAAAACCCACATCATGTATTTTGAAGAAAGCAAGCTAGTTGTATTAGGATAGGAGGTAGGGTGAAATGGACAATCTCCATTTCACCAGTTAGTACAGAGAATAATACAGTGAAAAAGCCTTAGAAGCCAGCTCTTCAAGAACAGAGATTAGCTTTGAGTCTTCTCCATCTGCTGAATGGCATTCATGAAGAATAAGAAGGAAAGTTGTATCAAATACCTAATACTTGACTTCACACCAAAAAAGTGCTCTTCAGGGCTGGGAATGTGGCTTATTGGTAGAGTGCTTGCCTAGCATACATAAAGCCCTGGGTTCAATTCCTTAGTAACATATACACAGAAAAAGCCAGAAGTGGCACTGAGACTCAAGTGATGAGCACTCGCCTTAAGCTGAAGAGCTGAGGGACAGC